CTGACCCCTGAATGATCCAGGTGCGCAGTTCGCGCACAATGTGGTAGAGAGGCTGCCATGACGGTGCGGATGAACCCCAAAAGACGCGGGGGCAAGGAGTCTGTGGTGACAAGCTGCTTGATTGTATCGACAGTGACGCAGTGCGGAAAGAGTGCATCCATAACCTCACCAACCTCGCCATCGACAAGACCCCTGCTACGGTAGAAATGGAGAGAGCAGTTCTTTTTCCAGGTTGCGCATGGGAAGAAAGGCACGCACGGCAGCGACATCCACCTGGGCCGGCAGTGTGTGGTCATTACGCAGGAGCAGGTGGGAGTAGCTGTGGCACTGAGGCCCGAAAAGCTCGTCTGGCACATTGACTAACCAATGCATACCACCCGCGCGAATACCTCGGGCGACCCGTATGGCGGCCCGTGCAAAGTCGGTGAGCATCCAAGGACACAAGAAGTCTTCGCTAGCATGGATGATGCGTAGCCTGCAGGGAAGGCGCAGGAGCTCAGCAAACAGCCAGTCCGGCATGCCGACAGCACCGATGTCAACAGTCGCTGGCAGCGAAGCATCTTCCGGGCCTTCCCCGGAGGCGGCAACCGGACCCCGGGAGGGGAAGTGACTACTGCCCCATAATTTGTGGAGAAGCACCCCCACGAGGCCTGCCGTGTAGCTGCCTGCCGAGAATCCACGGAGGCTGGCCCTGGTCGCTTGGATGCCAGTAAGGGTGCTGAAGAACAGCGCCCAGGTATGCCCAAGCAGTAACAATATCGCCACTGTGTCTCGTCTGCGCGCCAAAGAGTGGAATACCTGCTAGAAGCTCTGCAGTGCGTCGCTTCTGGGCTCTGCGATGCGGCAAGCGTTACCAGGTGCGCAAGCTTCGACAGCAGGAGAGAGACAACCTCACCAGTGCCGTTGGAAAGAGAACGCACGACAGCAGAGTCAGCACAGAGCCACACCGCGTAGCGCTAGCTTGTCCAGGTTGACTGGAACGGTCGAGTTGTAATTGTGGGGAGTCTCCGAACTGGGCAAGGGGAGCAGTCCGCGACAATTGGGACTCCTGGAAGCCATAAATCGAGCTGATGGTGTCGCTGCTGTTCTTGATCGGGGTGCGTCTCGTCTCTTCTGAGCGAATGCTCAAACGGCTGACCAACAGGCCCACCAACCTGCATCCTGCCCTGGGGTCGTGTAAGCAAACTATCACCAGAAGATTGTCCGGCAGCGGTGAACTTTCATGCATGAAGTGCCAAGACCCGGGAACAAAGCTTGGAAGCACTTGCACCAACAAGTACCCCTTGTACATTTGGAGGTGCAAGTGTTCCAGCCTCGAGATGGCATGTTGAAGGGATGCCAAGGCCAGAGAAATGGACTCTCAGTCTTGTAGTCCGGCTCCAGTTAACTGAGTCCTTGTAGACAAGCAGGAGCCGCCGTGCATTCAGAAACTTGCATCTTGTAAGTTCCTTCTTCTGGTGCAATCCAGATTTGAACCTGGGTTTGAATCTAAGTCCCTCTCTTCGGAAGGAATACTGTGGGGGTACTCTGATGTGTTTTTTGTTGTTTTCCGGGCCCCGAAAATGGCGTCGTAAAGCTCGTCGAAAGTGTGGCAGGGTAGAAAAGCCCTGGACGGAGGTTTTCAGGCCTGGAGAAGTGTTGGAAGGACTTGGCAAGGCTGCGGTGCATAAATAGTAGACGCCTTCAAATAGTGTCCGAATAGTGCTCGAATAGTGCCCGAAATAGTGTCCGAACTAGTGCCTGAATGAACCCTTCATAGTGCCCAAATGATTTTTCGCGAAGAAAAAGGAGATTTTCATTCCTTTGCGAAAGGAAATGTATTTGGACAATGAAGAGTTCATTCGGGCACTATTTCGGGCACTATTTCGGGCACTATTCGGGCACCATTCGGGCACTATGCCAGGTGGAGGCTTGGGCGGCATTATCTGGAGGGCTAAGGGTTGGAAGGCCGAGTGATCTGCGGGCGCGAGGCCATTTTCAGTGTTCGAAAAACCACAAAAACTGTAGGACGCATTAAGGTACCCCCATAGTCAGTTGCCGCCTTCCTTGCCATGCTGTGGTATTTATGACAAGTAGTTGTCATGACATCATGGTCAACAGTCTCAAGCTGACCACGTACAGACCCCGCGCATAGCTACAAGGTTGTTTTTCGAGCAAAGTTCCAATCCAATTGGGAGCCTCTTTGTCCAAAGGTTTTCGATCCATTCTAGAGCCCATTTTCGAGCTCCAAAAACGAAGCCCAAAATGGGGTCTCCCCTAATAGTTTCCAATCAGGCGGTCTCAGCTTTGGGAACCAATTTTTGGCCTCAAAATGGGGACCAACCCGAGCTCGAAAACTGCGGAAGTCTGCGAGGGAGACGTGTTTGAAGCTTTACCGAAGTTTTGCCCGACATGCGGCGACCAGTGTCGCGAGCGACCGCGTCTGTTGAAATCAATCAAAACGCTCCGTTGCTACCCTGGTGATTGGGCTTGTGCTGCTTAAGCACCGTTGTTTGCCACTGTAACTGTGGGGGTACTCTGATGTGTCCTACGTTTTTTGTTGTTTTCCGGGCCCCGAAAATGGGCTCGTAAAGCTCGTCGAAAGTGTGGCAGGGTAGGGAAGCCCTGGACGGAGGTTTTCAGGCCTGGAGAAGTGTTGGGAGGGACTTGGCAAGGCTGCGGTGCATGAATAGTAGACGCCTTCAAATAGTGCCCGAATAGTGCCCGAATAGTGCCCGAAATAGTGCCCGAACTAGTGCCCGAATGAACCCTTCATAGTGCCCAAATGATTTTTCGCGAAGAAAAAAGAGATTTTCCTTCCTTTACGAAAGGAAATGTATTTGGGCACTATGAAGGGTTCATTCGGGCACTATTTCGGGCACTATTTCGGGCACCGTTCGGGCACCATTCGGGCACTATGCCAGGTGGAGGCTTGGGCGGCATTATCTGGAGGGCTAAGGGTTGGGAGGCCTGCAGGACCACCAAAACACTGGAAATGCGCACGAAGAATAGGAATTTGTGCTGCAGGAGGCATTGGGGAGTGATCTGCGGGGCAGGGTTTGGAATGCAAAAGGGGGGTTTAGGGAAGGATCTGCAGAGTTTAGGGTAGGATCTGCAAGGCAGGATTTGGGGGAGGGTCCGCAAGCAAGCGTTTGGAGGAGCATACACGAAAAACATGAGGGGTGGCATGTGCAAAAAATTGTAGGGTAGTCTATCTAGAAGTTTACGGGGGCCTTGGCCATGCGAGGGTTTAGGGAAAGATCAGGCAGGACTTAGGGAAGGATCTATAACGAGACTTTATGAAGGAGTTATGGTTTTTATCGAGTGCAGCAGCAGTCAGTCATTGACAGTCTTCTTGTTTGCATATTCAGAAACCTCCCCCCCGCCCCCTCAATTTCAATGTGTGCCGCAATGTGTGCCGCAATGCTCATTGATTATCGCGCGAGGCCATTTTCAGTGTTCGAAAAACCACGAAAACTGTAGGACGCATTAAGGTACCCCCATAGTAACAACAACAATCCAACCCAGTTTTTTGAAATCTGGATTTATTGTGGCTTTTTTTGGCTTGACTGGGCCTCGCCGACTGCAACTGTAGCACTCAGTCCCTACAAACAAGCAAATCAACAATCAACAAAACTACAACGCGGTGAAACAGAAAAGTGAAGCTCTGCAAAGAGCAGCACAGAAAAAAAAATCTGGATTTAATGTGGCTTCGAACCTGATTTGAACCTGGCTTCAAGCTGGATTCGAACGATTTAAATTTAATCCAGACTAACCCAGGTTTGAACCCAGGTTTAGCCAGGGTTTGAATCCAGGTTTGAAACCCAGCTGGAACTCCGGTTGAATGAACCTAAGGACCTAGGTTCAATGAAAGAAGACTCAGGAAACCGGAAGAAGGACCTCCTCATGAAAGGAGACACCTACACAAAATCGCAAGGGTTAAAAACGAATAAAAGAATGAATTCAGAGACAAACAAAGGCCGCATAAAAATCGTTCAGCACGGTCCGCTCAGAAAAGCTCAAGGAATCCAGATTAAACATCAACTTCCATTCCATGCACGTTGCTGTCGCTGGTTTGCACCAATTTGCGGTTCTAGCGGCATCATTGCAGCTTACAAAAAGTGCGAGACTTTGGGCACAGCGTTTCCAAACCCAGTTTCAAACCTGGGTTTGAGCAACTTTGGTTTCAAGTCGCTTGAATGTTCCAATTTGGGTTTTTATTGTTTCGCCGGGTGTCATAGTCGTAGAAGTCGTGGTTGCAGTCGGTACTTGTCGTAGAACTCGTTGTGGTACTTGTAGTCCTCGTACTAGTATTCGTAGCAGTAGTAGTCGTCGAAGTGGTAGTGGTTGTAGTAGTAATCGTAGTAGTAGTAGTAGTAGTAATAGTAGTAGTAGTAGTAGTAGTAGTAGTAGTAGTAGTAGTAGTAGTAGTAGTAGTAGTAGTAGTAGTAGTAGTAGTAGTAGTTGCAGTAGCAGTAGCAGTAGCAGTAGTAGTAGCAGTAGCAGTAGCAGTAGCAGTAGTAGTAGTAGTAGTAGCAGTAGTCGTTGTAGTAGTGGTAGTAGTAGCAGTAGTAGTAGTAGTAGTCGTAGTAGTAGTCGTAGTAGTAGTAGTAGTAGCAATAGTAGTCGCAGTAGTCCTAGTAGTCCTAGCAGTAGTAGTCTTAGCAGTAGTCGTCGCAGCAGTAGTGGTCGTTGTGGTAGTACTCGTCGTACTCGTGCTTCTGCCATAATAGTTGGGCAGCGGTGCTAGAAGTCGCGAACGTGCTCGTTCGTCGCCTTGCACCTGCAGCCTTTTCTGCTTTCGACACCAGCCTCTTCCGTTCTCGCACCTTCTGTGCCATGCACGAAGCTTACTTTGTGCGTGTAGGTTCTTCTTTGGGCTCTGTTGCCCCGTCAGGCTTTTGTTTCCGGAAGTTGTGCAGCACGCCTTCGCTCGCTTCAAGCCAGAAGACGTGCACGTCGGGGTTCAGTCCCAACACGGAGACGCTTGCTGTTGCTGGATTTGTCGCCTTTTGCAGGCGATGTCGTTGGCAGACCGTGTGCAGCTGGCGAAGCTGCTTCGTGCTTCGACCGCATGTGACGACGTTCTGCTTTCTGTCCTAGCTGTTGCGCGAGGTCGCCTGTTCAAAGCGGACGCCTCCGAGGCAACAACAGCCTTTCCTGCTGTCTCCGTCCTCCCGCTGCCCGATAGGTCTGTGCCGTGAAGAAATGCAAGAAGACCAAAGATGTGCACAACCTGCGAGACCCGCGCCTTGTCAAAGCGGCAGGCCTTCTTGCGGCGGCTTCAATCTTGAAAACTTGTTTCCCATGTCGGCAGGCGACCTGGGGAAGATGAAGAGGCCCTCGCATTTTGTGTCTGTTTTTCGGCTTCTTGCTCTGCATCAGGCGCAACCTATTAGGGACACCCGATTTCGCTGGGATTCGTACTTGAAGAATGTAGCAACCGTGACAGTCCCAGACCCATAGGTTTTTTAGCAAATAGGAATTTTCGGTCTTTGAGATGGCTTTGCATGTGGCGTTTAGCAGACTCTTGTGGTTCTAGGTCATTGGACAGTTCTGATTTGTTTGCTTTCTGTGGTTTTCCCACTGTCCAAACACTAAAGCATTGGGAAAGATGCCTGAGTTTTGATTTCTCGGAGGATTGTTTTTTCGTCCTGTCCGAAGTTTGCTCGGAAACAAAATTCGACCAATGATGGGGCTCGCGCAGTGCTCAAGTAGTCGATCTGTGAAAAGTGCAGTGAAACAGCTCCGCTTTTGTTGGTCGGTAAAGTCTGAACCAGTCACAAGGTCCGAGTGCGTGTTGCGCCGCAACCTTCCGTTGGAGCAGGGCGACCCCGTGTGCGGGGCTTGCCGCTGCATGTTCTCCCGAGAAGTGTGGCTCCTTGCTCTTCCAGCTTTCACTACAATGATGAGTTTCGACGCAGATTCGCCAGAAGCACAGCTATGCTCCCAGACCCGACTGTGCCTTCGGAAGACTGCTGCTCGCTCCAAGCAGCGGCTCATGGTTAAAGTCGAGAGGCGAGAGTCTTCCCTTTCTTTGTCGTAGAGATGTCGATGGAAGCGACAAAATGCATTGTATGTGGCCGCGAGCGATGCTGTGGCTCCACGGAATCTCTGTCAGAGCGAAACAAGAAATCTTGCATTTTTCTCCGTCACAACCGCACAGACACAGTTCGAGAAGAGGAGATGCAACAGACAGTGGGTGCACATGTTGCCTCTGTGTGTCTGACAGACAGACACAGACGCACATATTGGTGGAAACAATGCGAGGTGCGAAGAGAAACTACCGTACCGGCCTGGACCCTACTTCGCACAATCTTTTCGGTTTACTTCATGCATATTTATTCATTTTATGGAATGATTTGGATGAGTGGTTTTGACATTGGGTTTGGGGTTTTAGGAATTTGGTTTGCTTGTGTGAGTCCCCCTCCTTCCTAAGAAGTCCGGCTCAATGAGACTCAAGGCGACCTACGAACGTGCAAGTGTCAAGAGCAAGAAGGCAGGGGGAGAGGGGAGGCAGGATATGGATATGTCGCGTATGGATGTCGCCAGCCCGCAAACAATAGGATCAGGAGAGAGAGAGAGAGTCACTGGGTCCGTGAGGTGTGGTGGGGGGAGCAGAGAGGGGAGGGGGGGAGCCGGATGACCCCGCGCAGCAATAAGTCCCTCACGCAGCCGATTGTCCACCCAAGCAAGAACCCCAGTCCTCACCGGAGACTCCAGGGGCCATAGACAAGACGATTTTAGCCCAGCCGCCCCCCTCCAAGGGAGCGGAAGGGGGGTGGGGGGTTGCCTCGTCACGGGTTTTGCTGGAGAGGTTTCGGATTTCGGAGAGGGCGAGGCCTTGCCAACTTTTACCAAATTACACGCAATTGTGGAGAAGGTGTACGTAGTTTCAACAAATACTACGTACACTGTTAATCGAAATTGTATATAGTTTCCTGAAGCTACATACACTTTCAATCAGAACTACATACAGTTTCAATGAAACTACATACACTTTTGACGAAACTACATACAGTTTTACGAAACTACATACAGTTTTACAAACTACATACATTTTTAAACAAATATATACACTTTTACGAAATTACATACACTTTTGCAAAACTGCATCCACTTTTAACAGAAGTACATACACTTTTTTACAAAGTACATACAGTTTTATAAAACACACATGCACTTTCGAATAGAATACAGACACTTTCAACAAAAATGTCTGTACTTTCTCAGAAACTGCATGCATTCTTGTAGCATTTTTGTAAACAAATGTACATTTCGAACCAAACTGCATACACACTTGTGTTCTGTATGTAGTTTAACAAGAAAATATCAGCATACTTCGCCTACAAAACTGTGTGTTTCTGCTTGGTTTGTTTCAAAACATGCATAATCATTGATTGAAAAGTACGTTTCCAGGCTTTCCTGATGCATGCTTCAGTTTCTGTGGAAATAAAAGAACGACCTCAGTACTTGGAGCAGTTGCCTTGTCAAAAGAGTTTCTAGGACGGCGGAACTTGAAAATGTCTATGTATTTTTGCAGAACATAAGAAATCAAGACACATCGTTCAGGATTTCAAAGTATCGAGCCAGCGCTTTAAGCTTTCAGCTCAGCTATAGCAGTAGCCGGCCCTACTATCCCCCATCCTTCAAAGTTGGAAGGGCGTAGGTCAGATTCTGCATTTTGCAACTTTCACTGTTTTGTCGTTTTTTCTCGACAGGGGTCAACAAGTGCAGCTTTCATGTAGGAGCTGACTCGGGACTTTTTGCTCGGCTTTATCTTCCTCATATACATATATATATATAGCCTCGCACCGATGTGTGTGGCAGCACTGCCACACATCCACATCACTCTACTGAACTCTACTGCCTCCATTGTGTCGGACCCAAAAGCAATTAGACGACCTTAATTCTTCACAGCCACACGAGACTTTGAACTCTACCAAAAAGGTCAGGCGGCGAGGAGAGACACAGAGGCCAATCCGGCAGGGATCCTGAACTTGTCAGGTTCTAGTTCCGCTGGGTCGATAATCCAGCCTTCCAAGGACCAGTTGCACGCGACCCGGCACCACCCCTCGTCCAGTATGACCCGTTCCCTGCTTGGCAGACACCACCTGTTGTCCCGCTCCGGGAGCCCCAGGCACCACCCGATCGTTGCTGCAACTTCGTGACCTACGCGGTTCCTCAGACCCCAGCGCGCCACAAAATGCTCATCTCCGCTGGGGCCTAGATATAGCGCAAACACAGATGCGGGCGCAATGGACTGCAAATGTGCATGGCTTCAGGTGGCATTCGATCTTTTTTCTCGCACCGCTCTCATCCACTACGGGAGGTGAGGGGGAGGGCGACTATATAAATATATATATATATATATATATTTACTAATACTATTGCCACACTCATGCATTCAGAACAAAACCATTCACATTGTTGTCCATGCTTCGGAGTTCCTGGGACTCCACTTTATGCTCTACGTTCTGTTGTGTGGAAAATGAGTGCTAAAGCACAATCAAAGATATTCCAGTCAAATAAATCTTCACAGGAATATGATTCGTTTTTGGTTACCGCAAGCATTCGGGCAGTATCTTCCTCTTACACGGTGGGAAGCTCTTGCAAGTCCGATGCTGGGGAACGGCTGGGGATAGGCAACTACATGAAAAAGTGGAACATAGAGTATCCAGAGGAAACCGGCGTTGACAGACCACGCCCTTGCAACTCACACGTAGTGCATGGTCTGTCATCGGGGGGAGGGGGCACTTAGCCGACTCAGCCTTCGAAAACTCAAATCCAAAATTTCGAATATTCTTTCCCCTAATTTTTCGGATTTCCGAAACTTCCAAAATTTCAGAAATTTCGGAAATTTGGGAAATCTTGGAATTTCGCAAGTTTTGGAAATTTTGGAAATTTCGGTAACATCCAAATTTTCAAAAAGTGCGTCCGTATGTTTTGGAAAAATTATGTTCACTAGGTCGGGCCGTTTTGACAAATTTGGCAAATTTTGGGAAATTTCGCAAATTTTGGAAATTCTGGATATCTGGGAAATTTTAGGAATTTTAAGGCAAGGTCTGTCAATATTCATGCCCATATTTAGACGGATATCTATCTAGATATATGTATATATGTAATGATACTCCTACATATACTATTGCCGATGCTAATACTGACATTGATCATTTGTTGAATGCTCAAGCTAATACCAGCATTAATATTAATATTACACTTCTATAAAGCTTAGTACGAATATGCATAAGACCAATACTAATATTGATTAATATTGCTATTTATACTGCTACGCATATCAATAATCATATTCATATTGATATTTGTGTATATGAATAGAGGCAGGGAGGGAAGGTGGCAGGGAGGTAGGGACCAATATTAATACACACCTGCATGTACTAATGTATATAAATATGCATACCACTATATTAAACTGCAAATACTTTATCTCGTTCATGTATTCAACTGTGAGTATTTTCATGTGATAAAGAATTACTAATGCAAACATTTTTGCGAATGTAAATCATCCAGAATCATCCATAGTACTTCCAGTAACACTACTACTAATACTTATCACAAAATTTTTATTAACATCAATATTTACATAAGTACTGATACTCCTACGAATACGAATACGCATACTCTTGGGGTGTTAACAGTAATGCTATCGCCAACACTAATACGGACGGACATTGATAATCTGTTGAATATCCAAGAATGCCAGTGGTATTACCGGCATGAACACTTATATTTTGGCTAATACGACTATGAATAGTCTTAATTCTAACATTAACATTAATACTCCTACGAATACCAGTAATATATTCATATTGATATGAATACTAATTCCATTACCACTAGACGCCTGCATATACTAATGTATATGAGAATACACACCACTATCTTAAAATACAGATATATACATTAGTGCATTCATGTACTAATGTTGTTGCAGAAGCATATACCCATATACCAATGTAACAATATACTTCTCGTTGTTGTATGAATATACTATACTAATATGCGAATATACTAATATACGACTACTGCAATATGCAAGTATACCGGCATGACAAATTGGTATAATAACATGTTAACATACTGATAGACTTACAAATGACGGGACAAACATGAATATAGTACACATATTAGTATACTACTATGCTAACGTACGAATATACTGGTATGTTAATATATTATCAAACTAATACACCAATATACTAGCGTACTCATGCACCAGTTGTACTAACATATCAAATATACTAGTATACAAGTATACAAATATGTTGCTGTTCGAATACATTGATGTATTGATATACTAATCTGCTAATATACGAAACTATCAGCATACTAACATATCAAAACTACCTAGCAGCGGTGCTGCATTACTGACATTGACACTGGCACTAGCGCTAGCTCTAACACGAACATGAGCACTCACACTAATTCATATTTACTAATATTGATATGTATACTTACAGCAAACACTAGTACTAATATTATTAAGATATTCGTCCTAATTTCGATACTACCACAAAATTAGTACGTAACTCATGTGCCGCACGTCTGGTGCATGCGTCCTCAGTACATGGCATGTCAAAGTATACGTTGTATATCTACGGTAAAGGTTTTACTTTACAGATCATGGTCGGGTGGGGTGTGTTTACATACAATATCTCAGCCGAGTCACATGCCAAGAGTACACTGTCACAAGGCCATGATGTGTAGACGGGGGGGGCGAGCATACATATATATATATATATATATGCTCGCCCCCCCCCAAGATCTACGTCTGCAGGTTTCCGGAGAATGGATTTCCTGATTTCCGGCTTTCTGCAGTACGCAGGTTTCCAGATTCCAGATTTGCAGGCACTATGTTTCCAGAGATTCCAGATTTCCAGATTTGCTCACCCTAAAGTTTCCAGATTTCCAGAAATCTGGAATCTGGAATCTGGAAACTTAGAGCCTGCAAATCTGGAAATCTGGAATCTGGAAACTTAGCAGATTTGCATGCACTATGTTTCCAGAGATTCCAGATTCCAGATT